AAGCACTCACCATACAATTCACCTGGAATGAGATACTGAAGAGAAGGAGAACGCTTAACAGGATTTTTGGCAGACAGATAGAAGCCTGAAAGAAAATAATGGGATATTTGTTGTCTCTACATGTACAAGGGTGGCTTAAGGGATAGTTCTAATAATTATATTGTAAACAACGTTTTTTTTTGGCAAAAAAGACTGCAATTAACGTCAGGGTCGAAAGAGGGTCCATCATGCATACACGTCATTGAGTGTCAGACCTTAACGATTTATAAAGGCTGATAGACAACGGAATAGTGTATATAATATGTATCGTGCAAGTTACAATTGGAACAAAACTGGTAGCCTTTTCCCCTGAAACTTCGAACGCCGCTCATTTTAAGGTCATTCATGAGGTTACTATTCAGGGGATATGTCACAAGCATATTGCTCTTTTAGGACTGTGTTAAAGTGGCTTTACCCATACACAAAATGCTCTTGAAGAAGTTATGAAGAAGATATCAAACATCTTTCACCAGGAAGCACTAACCATTATTTGTAAGTTTCAATTCATGCGTCCTTAGAAAATAACAAAACTGGCCCATTATTTTGGGAAATCAATTTTATTGATGAGAAGACACTTATTTTAACCTTTTTTTAAAAAACGATAGTAAATAGAGTGGCAAACAGCCGCTTTAACTGCTAAAGTATAAGAATAAGCCATCATAGGCTAGTCGCTGCATGGCGGTATTTGAAAATGACTGAAACATGAAGTAATCAATGCAACTGATGAAGATGCATGCACTTACCATTTTTTTCCCTGCAATGGACGGTAGAAGAGATACCTTAACAGGCTGGGGTAACGTCGCTGACTAACTTTAATGGTTGAACTGGTTGTCGAAAGGCAATTCGCCAACTCTTTTCTTTTCACCGTTTCAGCACTTTGACTGACAAGCCTTTCCCGTATCAGCTGTAATGCAGGCTTTAAAATATTAGATTGAAATGATAGTTTTCGCCATTAATGCTAACGGAAGAAGCAAAGATCACATAATACGTGACAAAAACAGAGAATCCAACAAGATCCGGTCTGAGTGGACAAGTTGTCTCGACTCGACAGGCAGAGTTGTCGATTTACTCTGTCGGGAGGACAAGGATTATCATTCCACGGGGTCTCTTGTTAACATCCCAAGCAACAAAATGTTCAAGTCCCGTTAGTGAGACGCATTTCTCGACTCCACAGTTAACTCTGTCGGGTGGACAATCACTTTCTCCACTCGTACGACTTGTACGACTCGAATATCATTGACGGGGTCTCTTGCCAACATCACGAGTAACAAAATTTCTAAATCCCCTTTAAATGAGATGCATTTGTCGTGATTTCCTTGTCACGAGTCAAGTTTAATTCTTAGCAGGGGAAACTATCAAACTGGTATCAGCTGTCGAGATGCATTTCCCACTCCGGACAACTCTGTATGTCGAGTCGCGACAACTCAGTCCGCTCGTACAAGTTGTGAAAAGTATTTTTCCACTCGTATCATGTCGACAGTATAGGACATAATAAATGATGACATAATTTCTTAGACGCCAGGTCTAAAAACGGGTGTGAATTTTAGAGGCCAGGTATAAAGATGTGGGTTTTTTTGATCTGAAATAAGATCGAGATTTGGAGAACCAGGAGGCATCGATCCCCACCAAGAATTCCCAGCAGCACCCCCCAGGAAACTGCATCCCCTCTTATCTCCTACGTTACTGTATTACCCAATTAGCAAGCAGGTTTAAAGACTCAAGTATTTTGATTTATTTTATTTTTGTGTCCGATTCGCTAATTATAAGGACAGTGTAAAAGTCTTGACCCTCGGTGCTGAAGGAAAGAAAACCGGTCGAGTTCAATTTCAAGCTTCAGCGACCAATTTTTGCGCACAAGGAAGTCTTTAAGGGATCTCTCAATTGAGATATCCCTGAAAGACGTTAGCTCCTCTCTGAGCGCGTCCTCGATATTTATCCTTTCGGCCGCCAAATAATCGGGCTACGAAACAGATAAATTTTCTGCCGCATTTACTGATCTACCGTACCCTAATGACGCCTAATTAACATTCAAGTGGAACGTATCACTGGCAATTTGAGTACAATGTTATTCTTTTGTGTCCACATTTGCTGAAGGGCTTTTGTTGAAGTAATCTTAAGTATTTAATTTCAAAACTTTGACGTCTTACAGACGAGACTTCTTTGTCTTCTAAATCAGCAGGTTGAAAAATTCGACCTGTGCTGAAGGAAGTATTTTAACTAACACAAACAAACTAGGCCGGAGGAAAAAATAGTAACCGTAGTCGAGTATACTCTTTGCCAAACGTTATCTTTCCGCATTTTGAGCGCTGAATGAACAACTCTCATAACCTCACTTATCAAATTCCCGAAATTTGCTTCCCGTACTTGCTGCAAATTTGATCTCTTAAGGAGGATTGAAACGCCTTCCCATGATGCTTAGCGTCAAAAAATTCGCTTCGGTCCTCTTCTTAATATCTCTGACTGGTGCGTTCGTGGGTAATTTTGTGGATTTTCAATCGGATTTTTTTTCATGTTTCAAGTATTCTCAGGTAGGTAGCTGCTCCTGTTATTGGTTTTTTATTTATTTAGTCGTATAATAGTGACCGGGTATATTGTAGTTCTTACACTGAAGCATCATTTATGTTTTCTTTGTTGTTTAACTAGATATTCCCGACTCGTTATCTCCGATGTCCATCCGCAGTTAAAGAAGATAAAGTTCGCAATTCCTAACACTCATCAGGTATAACCGACCGACCGTCTTCTGACTAAAACGAAGCCTTAAACTAAATTATGCTGTAACGTACTACCGACTGTTGACTGTTGGTGCACTGAGTGACAGACTGCTTTCTTTTACTACTACTGTTTACTGAATTCTAAATGATTGCTAACAATGAATTACCTCTGACCTTACTCGAATGACTGACTTTCCAACTGGCTAAATGACTGAGTACTGAGTCACTTGCTGCCGACTTACTGCTGGCAAACTGGATGAGTGAAGGACTGGCTTAATGACTTACTGACTGACGGTTGTGCTGGCAAGCTGACAGGCTTACTCGACCAACTGGCTGGCAAACTGGCTACTGAGTAACTGCTCACTGACTGACTTTCTAAATGATTGGCTGGCTGCCTGATTAACTGAATCGGCCTGTCTCACTGACTGATTGTGACTGACTGACTGACTGACGAACTGACGGACTGACCATATGCCTGGATGAGAGATTACTATAACATCGGCGACTGACTTACTGACCAACTGGCTGGAGGACGGACTTACTAAGTTACTATGAGTGATCAAAACAGCATCTAACTATCTAGCTTAAGAATAGTTTGATTAACTCATTGTTGACCTAACTTTTTGATTAGTTGGTTGCCTCATTTGAACAATGCTTTATTTTGCAGGCTGAACTCATCCGTTCTGATGAGCTTCTAAGCGACTCGCTCACGATGAAAGAAATATCCCAGATATATGGACTTTACACAAAAGTGAGTATGGCGACATGACGACCAAACACATTCCAAAATATCTTACGTTTTTATACGAGTGTATCATTTCTTTTCTTTTAGTGTTTAAACTCGTATGATTCATCCCAAATAAGGTGAACCGGAGTTCGGAAAATTTTTTCTTGTGGAATCCGGAATACGAGAAGTTTTCTTGTAGGATCCGGAATCCTGGGCTTTGGAATCCGGAATATAGCTTAAGGATTCCGGAATACCACTAATGGTTGGAATCCGGAATCCGATTCCACTGACAAGGAATCCGGATTCCACAGCGTGGAATCGGGACTCGAAGACTGTCTTGGATTACCTCACATTGGGCGATATGATAAGAAGAGATGTCCAGTGATAATACGACTTAGTACAACTTGACAACTGAAATGTTTGTATTACTGTGTCAAGCAAAGTTCGTGAAATGTTTCTTTGAATTGACTTTTTATATCACATTCTTTCTTAAAATTTTTAAAACCTAGTATTAATCAGAAAAAAACATTATTCTTAATTTCGTTTCTAAGTATTGTCAATCCTAAATAACCAACAAAAAAAACGGTTATCTTTCAGTCCTTCTTGGATCTGCAATACTCTTTCTTGGATGTTTGTGAAGATGACTTAAAGAAAAGTAAAGAAAACATAGATGAAGTACCACGAAAGAAACTCAAAACTAGTGGTGCCTAAGAAATATTTAAAGAAGAAAAGAAGGAATGCTTGATAACAAAAACAGAACCTTTCGAAATAGAAGACGGACAAAATTTACCAAATAATTCAAGTGATACATCAAACGAACAGCTTTATCAAAGTGACCTTTCCACAGCACTTCCAGAGACTCCTCCAAGTTTTGAACAAGATCGCATTGAGCAAGATACCGCGTGAACCAACATTTGAAGACCCTGAGTGTTCACACGATTAAACGTCTCAGTTCGAGGTGTGATAACTAGATGATGGTGTACCGAAAACTATGGCCAATATTCGCGTTATCACATCTAAAGCACTGAATCTCTTAGCTGTAGCTCTGAGATAATGGATATGATCCTAGTTAGCAAGAGGAACAGTGAAGCAACATGGGCAGGAATCCGGCCTCCCTCCGAAGATGTTACCTACACAGAGTAGTGCAACATCTTCAGAGCGTAGATTCAAGTATGTGTCTCTACGTGTCACGTGTCTTAAACTGCTGCAGAAGGAGATTTCTGCTGTTGCAACTTTGAGTGGAATAGTCGCAACGAAACGAGCAGATTCTCATGATAATAACAAACGGAAAGACCTTCTGGGGTCTAAACCCCGCCACGTAAGAACTTTTCAGGGTAAAATAAATAAATAAATAAATAAATAATGATTTGGAGGTAGCACATCTACAAAGTGGTTCCTTGTCTACTTGATTCCTGGTCGAATTGGAATTTGAAATTGTTGGTTTTTAAGGAGAGGGGAAAACCGGAGCACCCGGAGAAAAACCTCTCGAAGAAAAGGAGAGAACCAACAACAAACTCAACCCACATATGGCGTCCACGCCGGGATTAGAACCCGGACCACATTGGTGGGAGGCGAGTGCTCTCACTACTGCGTCACCCTTGCTACCCAAATAAAAAAAAAATTCAGTGCTCCGAAATGTACTGGATTTACCGTTCGGTTCACCAATAACGATATATCGCTAATTATTAAAAACTGAATCGTTGGATAATGCAATTCTAGCATTTTGATTGGATTAGCCGCTAGAGAGGATATTACACGGTGGCGCAAAGATATGAATTTTATTTTCGAGTGGCAAAGCAATATTTTACGAACGAGCGCAGCGAGTGAGTAAAATATTGTTTTGCCACGATAAAATAAAATTCATATCTTCAAGCTGCCGTGTAATGTTCTTTTTATTATACAGAAAAAAAGACGTCGATAAAATAATAGGGGGAAACGACCGAAATTACGTCATCGATAAACTCACGTGTGAGATTATGGAAAATAAACCACTCAGGTCCCGGATGTAGTTTTTATGAATTTTACGAGTGGTATATTTTCCAGTAAAACACTCTTGTCTGTATAATAAGAGCGATTATACCATGCTCTCCATATATGGTCGGTGAACGCGTCAGTTTAAAATTGGAAGCTAGCTGAGATTTTTTTTCGCGAAGGATAGAACGGTGCCCGAAGCAAATTGTTTTAATTCATTTCTTAGACGTACTAGAAATGCAATTTCATCGAAGGAAAAAAAGACTAAAACAAACGAAAAAGCCACAAGAGCTTGTTTGAAAGTTTGTCGAAAAACACATGGAACTAAAGTACCTTGACCAGCTACGGAAGAAGGCAAGTGCTGTTTCTTCATGATCGCGAAGCCATTCGCCGATCGAGTCACTCGCCGATAGATAACTGCGGCTTGTTTATCCGACATCAAGAATATAAATCACAAGCTAAAAAGTAACCAACTACAAATACAGGCTATGCAGCCATTCACTAGAGCAATCGAGGCGGCAGTATAGCTTCTTTTCTCATTCAGCAAAACCAGCTTGTGGCTACAAACAACTTCATAACAAGCGACCGAGGTAATAGTTTTTCTCTTGACTAATTTCGACGGCTGTCACTTAAAAATTCTTTTCCTTCACATTATCTGCCAGGTTTTTTTTAGCTGTTCTGCTGAGGAAAATCCTAGAATCCCGATGAGTTTTTAAAAAACTAATGTTCATCGCTACAATGTTTTGATTTTTCATTCATGCAGTCCAGGCGAGTCCGTTCGCGCGTTGACAGTTTTGATAGACGTGTGACATGTGAATAGCGGAAGTCCCTTGTCTTTTCCGGTTTTTTCTAGTCGGGGAGATTCAACGAGATTTTGTGGGCGTTTGTAATAAAACAATTATTCCACTCGCGGTTGTTGGATATGAGATGATTATAGCCAACTCGGCGCTATGCGCCTCGTTGGCTATCTATCATCTCATATCCAACGCGCCCTCGTGGAATAATTGTTAAGTATGTTTATAAATCAATGTTAAATAAATGTTGAATTACCTTACCTGTGGTATATCGTCGTCCTTTTGCCTCAAAAGCGGTTTTTTGAGCGATTTTGAAGGATACTTAGTTCGCTGTATTTAGAACAGTAAACGGCGAACTAAGTTTCCTTCAAAATCCCTCAAAAACCGCTTTTGAGGCAAAAGGGCGACGATACACCAAAAGCAAGACATTGATTTATAAACATACTTAGCGATATATCGTTATAGGTGAACCAAATGGTAAATCCACCACATTTACCAGAAAATAATAATCGGTTACACACACACATTGTGTGGACTGCCTGTGCAAACCCTTAACTGAAGTAGATTCTAAAAACGAATCCGTCTCGCTGCCAGCACAAATGTCCCGCCGTGGCTTGTAATGTAAAGACTTGTGATGGTCTTCTATAAGTCATATAATCATTAGTGGTCGAAATCATTGATAAGTAAGGGAAAGGACGCTAAGAAAACAACACCAGTAACAAAAAAATCTGAAAAAGATTCGAGATCTCGGCCCTACCTCTGGAATGTTATAATCTGACGGGGTACTATGACAACACAGGCACATTCTCGTGTCCTTGATGAAGGTTCCCGGGGACGTGCGCCCGCGAGGACGTGCTCCCGGGGACGAGGTCTGTGACAAAAGGGAGATTCAAATGTTTTTTCTTCAATTTGAAGAAATTTCGTACTTTCTTCTCTCCGGGAAAAAATAGTCATGATTAAGACTTCAAGTTGAATCTTGTGTTTAACGTCATGTGTTTAAGCGGGAGGGGGGAGGTCTTTAATGCCCTATCCAAGCCTTAATCTAAGAAGGTTTACACTTTTGTCCCAGTTTCATTGCTTTTATTTCACCTGGTATTTCAAATAATTGACCCAGTCTTTTTTCATTTAGATAAGTTGAAATGACAGAACATTCATTTTAACCCCAGCGAAACCTCCCCAGCGGTGACGAACGAGGAGAAACGGCTGTTTTCACAAGCTATACACTAATAAAACGTGACATGACAGAGTCAACCTTTACTGTCTAAAATATTGTTATATAGCAGTAGTTTCCTTTACAAAGCAAATAACGTTTTAGCTTTGTTTTTGTCTGATGTTGTGCTTAAAGCCTTTTTGGACAATCCAGGTGAATATTTTTCTATTTGACGCGGCGATTTACAATGAGCAGAGAGAGAATTGCAGTAAAAAGGGAGAAATTTTGCCTTCACATTTTGGGAGAGAAAACACTTATTAAGCGGTTTAATTAAGCTTCAACGCCTCTAAAACGACCTATCCTACCATCCTTTGAAGAAGGCACTCACAAGAAGCGACGATGATAGCTTGAGAGACGTCCGTAAGGTCTTTATTCAATGGATGTACACACAGGCACTAGCTACAGATAGAGAGATCTGCAATCACGTTTTCAGAGGTACTGTCCAACCATCCCGATTTCGTCGGGATTCCCTTGAATTTGCTTGAAAATCCCGAATCCAGACCAATATGAGATCGGGATGAGAAAAATCCCGATTTGACGTGGCCCCCTGCAGGGCTCGTTCTCGACGATCTTGCGGAAAATAAGGGACCAACGAGAGGTATATATTTCAAAAGTAGCACAAAGTTGGGAGGATGAGAGAATGTGTGTTTGTGAAAAATAGAAGATATCGAGCGAGTGGCTGGGTTGTATCCGACAACTAGAGGGATACGTGTGGGTGAGTCGCTTGTGTGAGTGTGTGATGGTATGAACACGTTGTATCTCCTGGCTGAGGAGACCGCGATTGTATCCACATCTGTTAAGGTATTGTTATTTTGCTTGTGTTAATTCGTTACAACGCAGTTTGAACGTCTCGTTGGAGGAATATTCTCAGGGAAAGGCTGAATGGAAAAGCTCGTTTAGGGTGAAAAGGGGTGACATGATGAGCGTAAAAGGTACTGATGTTCGTCCGTAGTTTTAACTATAAAGAACAATTTCAATGATCGATACCATCATTGGGGGACACCTAGACCAAGGGAAAGGAGAAAGATTTGAATGAGCAGTTTGGTATGAATTTAATAGTGGGATGAAAGGTATTTAGGTAAGGGATGGAATAATACGTCGGTTAACGCCTTAACTTCAGGCGCCAATAATAGTATACGCTCATCGTTCTCTCATCCCGGTTTAAGACTATACCTCTCGTTTCCTTTCGACGACCACTAACAAGCCGGAAGTCTGCGATTCTTGGACTTCCTGTTTCGGAAATCGAAAACAGTGTTCAGTGGTCTGTACTGTTATCGACAATAGTTTGACCAATCCACGGGCGAGAAATCGCTCAGTCGTTGTAAAAAAATAATTGTAACTAATTATTTTATCTCGTTAGCCAAAGGGAGTTGTAATAAAACAGTCATTTCTTTAGGTTCCGCCGGTTCCGTGGTCTGCAGTTCCACAAGTTCGTCTTACCCCTATTAGATAACTAATTTCCCAGAAATCATTGTAGGCTTATTCATCTTTCCACGATGTTAAAAACATGTCTAAAGAAGAAGAGCTTTGGTGAGTAACTTTTGCATTGCCTCTATCCTTTGATATTTATGTTTTACACTGACTCACTATAGATAAAATTGCAATTGCTCTTACAAACATAAATTGATCACTGTCTGATGCAGTATGTCAGGGTATGTGGGATTTACGACTTCACGGAATTGATCGATACTTTCGTTTCAGTGTCACCGTATAGTAATGCAATACAACCCATGATTCTTGTGTGATGGGAGTAATATTGCCCCTTTTTAAAGTATTTTCCGAAATCAAGATTGAATTAAGAGGTAGCTTTATCACCAGGAGTGCACTGTGGATGCGAAAGTTTGAAAACTGGTTTTGATTAAAATATTCCATAAGGCGTCCTCTAGAGTCGCTCAATCATGTTAACAAGAGATACGATCGAGCGTAAACTAAACTTAGAGATCAAAGCTCCGTTCAGTTTGTTCTTTAGAAGTTTGGTAATTATAGCTTTTTAGGGAAAATATTTCATCTTGAACTGTTTGAGTGGATTTGGAAAGTTTTGCTATTTCGGTAGACTCCGGCAGACTGTATTTACTGCCGTCACGCGATCAACTCTCCCCGTCACCTCCCCCATGAAAAGTCACAGTTCGGTAGGTAGCGCCTTCCGAGAAAAGTACGGTATTGTTTGTTTTTCTACACCGAAACGGTAGGGCTCGACAAAGATGGACAAGCGACCATTTTAATGTCGTTCATTGCAAGATACTGCACTGCTAAAATAGGGGCGAAACCTGTCAGTAATTAGAATAATTTACAGATTAATTGTTGGGTAGTAACTGCAGAATACTCTGCCACTTCGAAGCTGAATCCCTGAAAGAGATGAATACGTGAATACACAGTTATAGCTAGTTTATGCGCTTCTTTACCTTCAGTGGCTTTAAAAACGACAAACAGACATACTATAAGCGTTATGTGCTGTCTTGTATAACGAAGTGGATACGCATTGACTATATATTATTTAGAAGATATTTACTAAATAAGTGTATACGCGGATACCTAGTGATTTTAGTATCCGCCTATCTGCCTGTTTTTAGGGGTTGCTTTAGAGTGCAGGGAGGGTATTCTGCGGTTAAGTCATTGTGGGTCTTATTCGTACTATTTTCTTTTAAAAATTTGCGTATCGAAGTGAAATATTTATTTACTGAAAACTGAAGAAGGGCTGCATATAAAAAACAGGATAGAAACTAGCCTCGTGACGATAGTTGATATTTGCTTTTGCTGACGGATGTTCGCCGTAAATGTGAAGCCCTGTTTAGGCAACGCCGTTTGCATTTAAGTTAAAGTGCTGTTTGGCTTCCTTGTTTGGAGAAAATCTGTTTTCAAGTGCAAGTGATTTCGAACTGAAGGTCGCATAGCACTGAAATTCATGTTATAAATGTCCTTCATCAGGTTCCAAATTTGTTTGTGTTACAGAAATTGTATTGTAACGAATGGTATCCAGCTGCTGACCAACTGGTGTTCGTATTCATGGCGTCCCTTTCAGAGGCAGAAGAAGCATTGCGATCAACGAAGCAAAAATCTAATTTTCAGCGCTTGACAAGGCTTCTGATGCGCGGTGGTGCAGTGCTTTTAAGAGAGGTATTCGACTCCATTCACAGCCCCGCCAACCTTCCCACAACGCTGAGTGACCCTTCAGTAAAAGGACAGCTGAGGAGAGCTAGACTTACCAGTCCAGAGTGGAATTGTTTGAGCCCTTCCCCAGGGGTATACGGAAAGTCGAGTGATTTTGATATCAGTTTAATCTTCAAGCTGCTGAGAACAATATGCAACTTGACCACTCCCCCCACAGGATGGGACAGCCTACCAAACGACTTCGACCATAGCCTTGAAGCAGACCTGGCACGAATAAAATATTATCGCAATGAAGTTTATGGTCACAGCAACAATTTGGAAATTCCTGATGAACAGTTTCTTGACCTCTGGGGGAAAATCAGTGAAGCGCTGTTGAGGATTGCAGCACACCTTTGCCCCGAAAAACAAAACAACTGGAAAGATGCCATGGAGAAATTCCTACGTGACCCTTTAACGCCAGAGGAAGAAAGATACGCCGAAGAACTAGAGCTATGGTACCAAAAAGACATCGACAACACAAAAGTGTTACGAGAACTTGTTCAGGAAGTCAGAGAACTACGGGAGGACACAAGAGATCAGCAAGACGGTCAGTTTAAGATTCAACTTTTAAGTTATTAATCTTTTCGCCTTGGCTACGGGTCGAATCTGATTTCGGGTAAATATTGAACGATTAATATTAATCAATGCTTTTCTCAAGCGACTTTGTTTTCATGTAAGTGATTTAGTTCGCAATTAATGAAAAGGTAGATCTTTGCACATCAGATACCTCGTCTTGGAAAGTCTAACCGATCCTGTCAGATTTGCAGACATCACTTTTGGGAAAATCCCACTGCCACTTTTGGGAAAATCCCACTGCCAATTTCGCTATTCACCTAATACCCTTTCGCAGAGTCTGGAAGTACATTTTCGGGATCCGGAATTTGACTAACATTCGCTGCGGGATTGGCGACAGCGCAAAATATCTTAACGGGATTTGACTGCTACATCAAAATGTGGGCGCAGGATGCGGGATTTATTGCCAGTCTGTCGGGAAGTCGCCCTAGCGGCAAATGCGAATCAAACAGGCGAGCATTCAGTGGTGTCTCCTATGAAAGCAAACAACAAAACTTGATAGAGAAAAGAAAAAATTTAGGAAAGATCGAGAGCAATAAAAGAGGAATGCAGTCTAAATCTTTGCGGTAAATTGTTATACTAGCACTACTAGGACCCCTTGACTGGGCGACTTGTAGCAAAATCCATAAATTCAAGACATTATGAAATGAAGTTGAGTGTTACATGAATTTCTTTATTTATGGCTGCCATGAATGTTTGCGCATAAGTATCTTATGTTCAAAGTGAACTGTACTCATTGAAGATTAATCAATGGCTCTATCGATTTTCCAACAGCAATGCTTCGGCTTGGGATGGTCATCGAAAGCTTCGTTCAGTATGGAGTGGTGGTCGCCCCTGGTGAAATGCACAGAAACCAACAGGAAATTCCAGCAGAGGTAGACTTATGGAACGTTATCGTAGCTTTCGAACACCCTTTCAGATTACTTTTTGGATATCTAGGGAATACTTTGAGTGCCTTTATTGAAGACATTGAACTGGGAAGTCTATCGATAACTGTTAAATGTAGCTCACTGCAGATCCTTGAAGGATTGTGGGAAGATTACGTCAGTGGTCACCTTAATCAAGTGGTTCAAGAAACGCTGGTGACAAATGAGGTCTTGGAAAACCTTGGCCTCGATGACGTGAAGCTGAAAGTGTTCATTTCTGAGGAGGAGTATCGAAACGGAAAACGGATCCTCACGGCCGAGAATTCAGGTTTGCACTGTCTTCGGAGACCCAGGGGCAGATAGTGGAAGCGAGGAAAAGTCTAAATGGGGGGAAGAAATTGATGCGAAGAAAAGTAAAGAATGTTCTTTACTTTTCTTCCCGCCATTTTTTCCTGCCCGTTTATAGACTTTGACTTTCCCCCACTATCTGCCCCTGGGTCTCCGAGGATGGCTTTGTACATATGCATGGGAATTCCGTAACTGGGCGTGACCTTTAGATTGTTTTAAGTAATANCAACAGCAATGCTTCGGCTTGGGATGGTCATCGAAAGCTTCGTTCAGTATGGAGTGGTGGTCGCCCCTGGTGAAATGCACAGAAACCAACAGGAAATTCCAGCAGAGGTAGACTTATGGAACGTTATCGTAGCTTTCGAACACCCTTTCAGATTACTTTTTGGATATCTAGGGAATACTTTGAGTGCCTTTATTGAAGACATTGAACTGGGAAGTCTATCGATAACTGTTAAATGTAGCTCACTGCAGATCCTTGAAGGATTGTGGGAAGATTACGTCAGTGGTCACCTTAATCAAGTGGTTCAAGAAACGCTGGTGACAAATGAGGTCTTGGAAAACCTTGGCCTCGATGACGTGAAGCTGAAAGTGTTCATTTCTGAGGAGGAGTATCGAAACGGAAAACGGATCCTCACGGCCGAGAATTCAGGTTTGCACTGTCTTCGGAGACCCAGGGGCAGATAGTGGAAGCGAGGAAAAGTCTAAATGGGGGGAAGAAATTGATGCGAAGAAAAGTAAAGAATGTTCTTTACTTTTCTTCCCGCCATTTTTTCCTGCCCGTTTATAGACTTTGACTTTCCCCCACTATCTGCCCCTGGGTCTCCGAGGATGGCTTTGTACATATGCATGGGAATTCCGTAACTGGGCGTGACCTTTAGATTGTTTTAAGTAATATGAGGAGCACGGGAAAAGAGGAAAGAAACAGACGTTTAAAGCCCTTTCAACATGTAAAATCGCTATAATAATTTTCAGTAATGCGGACGGACTCAAACTTCTTTGAAATTGTTCAAAGATAGAATTTGCCCTAGAGACCTTATAAATGAAGGGAAGAGAACTTCCTCTGGAGTCGACCGATAGGGTAATAGAATGGACAAGGATTTGCATGGCGCTTGATTCGTGGTGGCTCGCAACAGACAGTTACCAGTAAACGTATGATTTTTTTTTCTAGATAAACGCCCTCTATTATTCAATTAACATTAAGTATTTTATCATAACTTAGTCTTACGTATTAGTATTGTTGCCTCCAGATGTTATTACTGAATAATTAAACCGTTGGGCATTTAGTTTTAAACAAAAATGCAAACACATCAACCCCTTCTTTCTCAGTGTGGCATGGGCCTAATTGTATGCTATGGGGTTGCCAATAGCTGTAAATGTTGTTGGGCGCTATTCTCACCTGTAAGTCGATCACCATAACATAATTTATCATCATCATCATCATTATTATTGTTATTATTATTATTATTATTATTATTATTATTATTATTATTACGTTTGGTATCTTTTTAAAATTCTTCCCCTGTGTTAATTAAGAATAAGTCCAAGAAACATTCGGAACTTTTTAAGAATACATCTATTTAAAAAGGCTCAGTTTTTTTAAATGTATCTCCTTTTGTAGATTATTTATATTGACTTATTCTCTTCCATTTACTAGTTTTTTTCTCCATTTTATATAGCTTTCCTCTTGGCGACTTTGTAACATTAGATATGTGTTTTTATCTAGTCATCAATAATGAAGAATTTATTATAATTATAATAATAATTATTATTACTATTATTATTTTTATTATTTTTTTTAATGACGATTTAGAATCATCTGAACAGAGCCCTGCTTTGGAAGAAAAAAACACTCAAGTCAAGGATCGCCCAGGTTTAGGATCGGTTCCTCCAACTGAACCCATAACAACCGACCAAGAGAAGCAAAGGACGCCTGATTGGCGTGCTTCAATTACTTGTCCGCAAGTAATTTTGGTTTCTGGGAAAGAAATCACAAGAGAGATGGTGGTCTTTGATCCTGACGTGGGGAAACTCATTTGTTCAAAGATACTTAAGGATATTAGTGACAGAGCTATAGTTGTAGATATGAACAAAGCAGGAATAGGTGGATTTTTTTTTGTTTCTGTAGTTTAGCTTTAGTTTAACATCATTTGATTATCTGTTACAAGGAATAGTACGGTACAGTACACCAAATATGGCTATTTAGTCAAACCAAGAAACTATAAAGAGGACAGAGAGGGCATCCCCCATATACACCCTATTCCATAGGTAATTCGTCTCGAGTTATTTTTAACACCACAGATCTCAAGGGGGATTAGACAACAGCCAATCACATAGCGCGAATGTGTTCCCCGTGGATGACCCATGCTGAGAGCCACGCGTTCTTCACGAAATGACGCAGAACAAAATGGGGGAAGACGGGGAGAGCGATTTTGCTATTCCTTTTGTCGACGAAAACGACTACAGCGAGATTTCTGCGAAAGCTGTGTCAGCGAAACCGAAATTAAAAAAGAATCGCCCTTCCTCTCTTGTATACAGCTAACAGTAGAGCAGGGAAATCCTTAACACACTGAATATTCTCTCAGGATCATTTATAATTTACAGTTTGAAGAGAGCAATTTCTGGTTTGATGTTTATTTTTTTCAGTCTTTATAGCGATTATTCCTACCCACTTACTTTGTCAATTGTAGGCGAACCCTCCTAAAGCTGAATTTCAAGGGACCATATTCAAGCTCAGAAAGAGAAATAAAATTTCGTCGTTGCTTATTTACGTCCTCCATAAAACGCGAAATTAGGCATTTTCACGTCGTAGTCGTGCAAAAACGGGAAAGAAATGAACAAAAAAGTGTGTTGCACGTGCGAAGTTGTTGTTTTGCTAATTAAACCTATTGTTTTTTTGACGTTCTAGTTGTCGTCCGCGTCGTTGGATCTTAAACTCCCTAAATTGTACAAACGACCGGTTTCAATAGACCGGCGAAATTTCTCATTTTATTAAAGCACTGAGGTTACGACAACTTCGAGTTAAACTGATTTCACGGGTTGTCAAAGAGTCCAGCGATTCCTTTTTCCCAGGTGAGCGCCGACTCATTTCGCTTCAATATTCAGGAATGCTCTCGATCTTTTTGCGCTTTCATTGCCCCTCGCCCGACATGTTTTACACGGCGTTTGGTCATGCGAAACCTCCACGAAACATCCACGCCTCGCGCGAAGTAACTTTATCCCGATTCTAAAAATAACTCGAGACGAATTACCTATGGAATAGGGTGTATATTGGGGATGCCCTCTCTGTCCCCTTTATAGTCTCTTGGTCAAACACATTCTCCCTTTCTTTACTGCACCATTTAGTTGACTCGCTAGGAAGCATTATGATTATTTGAATTTTTCAGCCGGTCGTCCCGAGTTCAGATCCTCGGCCACCTTTTATTAGCCTCCTACCAAATGTTCTAATTTGCTTATTTGTTTGAAATTATTTGAGTAGAGTGTTAGCTGCACTCAGTTTTCGCTATAAAAAAGGATTTTCTTTTTAATTATTATTTTAAAAGTCCCACACTGCCTGGATTTGGCTCTTAGTTTTCCCGAGTTAAGTTTTTGACGCTCTTATAAATAGCCAACCGGTTTCCTTTGCACGGCCAGTTGGGATATTTAACCATATTATTGCCAACGAGGCAACCGAGCTAAAAAGCGAGGTTGACTCGGCGGCAGAATTATAACGCCGCGCAATGTAGGCAAAAACTCTCAAATTCTGCGTAACCCTCTAAAATTTGCATTTTTGACCATATTCGGGTGTAAGTAAGACCCCATATTTGGGTAGTGACGTCATGGTCTTGTATTTACAACTCGTGCGTGGTCTGCAGCTGCTCGTTGTCTGTTCAAGAGGACCTAACAGGTGAGCAAGCTTTAATACGATTTCTAGTTTGAAAGGGCAATTCAGTGCTCTGGTTTGCTTTATAAATTGCGTTTAAACCAGCAGCTTTAAAAAATAGGGTTTTATGCTCAAATTTTGTCAGAGCCAGCTTGTTCTTTGCAGCTCGATTTACATTGAGGTAGCGTGTTTGCTTCTCGACTCAGAACCAGGGTTTTCAGTGTTCTCTTTTCCTTTGTGAATTGAATTTTAAGCGGTAGTTGATCAAGGCATATAGATAGGGTTATATTCTCAAAACTTTTATCAGAACCAGTGTGTTCATGGCAGGTTGATTTACATTGAGCCAGTCCTCACCTCCCGTGAGGAGTGCAACGTATTTGCGGACCTTTTATTTTAGAATTTGTCAACCAGCATGTTTTTTTGTTGCTCGATTTACATCGAGACAGCCCAAAACTCGCGTGAGGAATGCAACGAATTCGCGGACCTTTTGTTTTGAAGACTATCATTATGCCTTTCAATATACTCTTTGTCCTGTGACATTCGCTAATTAGATCTTTGTATTTTATTCAAGTCTATATTTTTATACCTCTGATTCATTCCGCCCCATTCTTGCGCTTTTCACACATTTTACTTTACACCAATTTTTTCTTACGTATATTACCTCGCGAAACAGTTTAATTTCTTATCCCTGATGACGCTGTTGCTCGGAATTTAATTATTGTTTATAATTTCAACAGTCAAAGGCCTCATTTGAACTATGTCTTTCTTTCTAACGTTTATAGTTTTGATACATTTGAATTTTCCATGAAACATAAGTACTAACTTGCTCATATTTACCAACAAAGCTTCAAGCCATGTTGTTATTGTTTTATAATAATTAAAAAGTGAAAGCCTACAATGTGCCAAAGTTGTTGTTTTGAAGTTGGGTGCCATCCTTTTCTAAAGCGGAATCCATTTTAAACCTCTAAAATTAAGAAAAAAATATATAGGTGGTTTTCACGTTACGTCATCGCCGCCATGCTGGTGGACGGCATTTGTTCATTTCACCATTGTAATTTGTGTCTCCCGAGACTGCATGAAAACCACCTATATATATCGCGAAGATCTGAATAGGCACATTTCACAAAAGATAAACGAATTCGCATCGTTGGCACTTGCCGGAAGGCACCCCTAGTATTTTATTTCTAAGATCTTGTTTGAGTATACTTGTTCTGCGGTTTTGCAATAAAGATGCTTTCCAAAAAAACATTTTTCTCGCTTAAAATGTCAGCTTAAGCGAAAAAAAATTGTCACAGCATGTTTGTAAAGATTTTCCAAGTTTCATCCGACGAGGGAATGGGTAAATAAAGTAAATTTGTCGAGTTTTCAACTCAAAAACTTTTTTAAATTCGTGTTTGTGTGATTAGAGGGTCTGGATGGGGTTAACTGACAACTGACAAATGGCCAAAATTTTAACTGACAACTGACAAATAGCCGAAAATTTAACTGACAACTGACATTTGCCTTGGGTTTTACTGTCAGCTGACAAAGGACCTGATAGTCCCTTATTTTCTACAAAACCCGTTTTTAAGGCCTTAAAATATCATTGTTCTACTCTTTTCATCAGACAATGTGATCAAATGTGCGTTTTTAAGGGTAATCGTAGCAGCAAGACGCTTAAGAGTCATATTTCGTTAGTGATTCCGAGCGTAGCGACTTTATAATCTTGTTGCGCGCGAAGCGCGCGCGCAGTCTGCTAACCGCGCGTGGTCTT